AATATGCCTTGTCTTTAGCTTCGTTTTCGTCAAAACCTTCTGCAGTGAAATTCTGCGTTAGTTCTTCGAATTCCGATAAATTTTGTTGGGTTGCTTCAGCTTTTAAAGGAGCCCATGGATCGCTTTCGTATTCATCACCTACTTCACTACTAGTATCATCTACATTATCAGAATCACTCTCTGACGCAGAATCGGTTTCCACTTCGTTGTCAGTGTTATACGAATTCTCAACATCACTCTCTGATGTAGCACTATCAGAGTCTGCACCGTTCTCATTCTTTTCATCTTTACACTGAAATCTGTAGTAGGTTTCCAGCAGTACTGTATTTCCTTCGTATATAGTCAGGTTGAAACAACTCCAACCACAACCAACCGGCGAATGATCAATTTTTTTAACAACATCACATTTTATGAAGTGGCACCAAGGGCCTTTTCTACGGCCTTGTGTCCCGATTGGTGATTGGCTGGGACACTTCCCATCAAGCCTTCCCACCAATAGAATTCTAGAGAATCGGACCACAAGGCCATAAAAAATGCCCTAGGGGCCAATGCGAAAAGTGGCCCCAAGGGCCTTTCTACGACCTTGTGTCTCAATTGGTGATTGGCTGGGACACTTCTCATCAAGCCTCCCCACCAATAGAATTCTAGAGAATCAGGCCACAAGGCCATAAAAAAGGCACTTGGGGCCAATATGAAAAGTGGCCCCAAGGGCGTTTTCTATGGCCTTGTGGCAGATTCTCTAGAATCCTATTGGTGGGGCGGTTTGATGGGAAGTGTCCCAGCCAATCACCAATCGGGACACAAGGCCGTAGAAAAGGCCCTTGGGGCCACGTTTCGCATTGGCCCCAAGGGCATTTTTTATGGCCTTGTGGCCCGATTCTCTAGAATTATATTGGTGGGAAGCTTGATGGGAAGTGTCCCAGCCAATCACCAATCGGGACACAAGGCCGTAGAAAAAGCCCTTGGTGCCACTTCATAAAATGTGATGTTGTTAAAAAAATTTGATCATTCGCCGGTTGGTTGTGGTTGGAGTTGTTTCAACCTGACTATATACGAAGGAAATACAGTACTGCTGGAAACCTACTACAGATTTCAGTGTAAAGATGAAAAGAATGAGAACGGTTGCAGACTCTGATAGTGCTACATCAGAGAGTGATGTTGAGAATTCGTATAACACTGACAACGAAGTGGAAACCGATTCTGCATCAGAGAGTGATTCTGATAATGTAGATGATACTAGTAGTGAAGTAGGTGATGAATACGAAAGCGATCCATGGGCTCCTTTAAAAGCTGAAGCAACCCAACACAATTTATCGGAATTCGAAGAACTAACGCAGAATTTCACTGCAGAAGGTTTTGACGAAAACGAAGCTAAAGACAAGGCATATTTACTTATCGTACCAAAACTTCGTAAAGATTTGCAGAATATTTATTTGGAACGTCTACTATGGATAAGACAACTAAAGAGAGATCCAATACACAAAAAGATTATGGAAACCAGGGATGTCTTTGTCAACAATGATAATTTCGACCACAGGGAAGCGTTAGAGGCCGCTATTGACAAGAGAAAATTTCTTTTGAAAAGACTTTTCAGAAACACACGGTATCCTAGTGACATTGACTCTTAATGGTTGTTTGTGTTTGATTTATAAAAGTAAAATAAGATCGATCCTGTGCGGTAGCTATTTTCCCCTAACCCATTTCTCTAACCCTTTCCCAAGTCCCAGCAAACCTTCGGCCTTTAGGGCCACAACTATTTAATGTTAGGAATCAGTTGACATTTATCATTTGACATTATGCCTCGGAAGTGTAAAGATTGTCCCATCTGCGGCAAGCCAGCTTTAAAACGATTGGCAAACCATTTGGCAGACGTCCATGAACTTTCGTGCCAAGAAAGACAACCTTATCTTATTCGTGCTAAGCCAACAGCTTTAGACTTAGAAAACGTTTTAACAGAATTGTACAGATTAATTGGGAACAATAAAAAACAGTCAAAGTGGGATAAAAGCAGGATAAAAAACATACCCATTCTTCAACCAAAATCCTCCAGGAAGAGAACAAAATCAAGTACAAAATCTGCAAAGAATGTGGACAATACAGAAATGAATGATGGCTCAATGGATTGGTTAAAGTTAGAAACAAAAACGAAACACAACTCTTAAGTGGATAATATTATATTTATACAGACAAGAATTATTAACTTTGTAGTACTTAAAGAAATAAATGTGTCTTAAATCGAAATTCTTGTGTAAATTTTTGCCCACAAAGCATCGCGCTCAATTTTAAGGCATACACCTGCGTTATAAATAATCCCTATCTATCCATTGGGATACACTTAGTCATGCAAATTCGTATTGCCGTAATCCCCTTAATTACCTACACCTCCTAATGACTTAGCAACACATAACAACGCAACATTTGCAAAGTTTAAAACATGTTTATTGATACAAATAACAGACGATAGTGTCAAAAAATATTACAACTGTTCTAATTCTGACTTCTACTCTTGATAAGCTTTCTTATGATCATCTTAACAGTATATATGTATGTAGGAGGATTGCTAAATAATCTTGAACAACATGCAAATATTGACCATAACAACGACGTTGACAACTCAGGATTAGGAACTGTTTAGTTTAAAATATGTCTTGATTTTTGTGACGAATAGATTCTTCGCTATGGAAAATACAAAAAATCCTTCAATATGTATAGGTAATCACACAGGAAGGAGTGCAATTAATGATTAACACTACGAGTGATATTTGAAAAATGTGCCATAATTGCACGAGCCGCCGAGGCGAGTGCAATTTGGCACATTTTTCAAATATCACGAGTAGTGTTAAGAGGAGATTTTTTTAAAAATTGAGAAACTCGCGATCAAAAATACCGTGATGCTTTGCGAAAAAATAGTAAATTTTGTTGTTTTTTGGAACATGGCGGCAAAGGAGTGAACGTGTTTAAATTTTGCTCTATTGATCTCATGAAAACTCGCTCGATGTTACATCTAAGACATGAAATGGTATATTCAGCATATTTTCCTGTACTGGAAGTTAATAAAACATCTCCACGGCGTTTTAAACAACAACAACGTGCTTCGAACTCTGGAGGTGTATACTTCGAATGCAGAAGCCAAGAAGGTACGAATATTTTAACTGCTTCAGTTCTGTTTTTATGTGGCTAGATCGTAAAAATAATTCCGTCAATAGCAACATATATGCCTAAACTTTGTGTCTTTTCTGCATCGATTTGATCTTGGCCTCAGATATTTGTATTTTGCCTTTTGAAGTGAGCGACCTTTCTTCGACTTTAAAAGCCCCATTGTCGTTCGCTCCCACAAATTATCCTGCAAATACACCTTGAAATTCATGTTGATTTCCCCAAAAAATTATTGCATGTGAAAGAGTGTTATCGTATGCCCAAATAAATCTCAATTTATGCATGTATTGAAGTGTACTGTGTTGATAAACGTCCATTTTCCTTCTGCAAACATTATTATTGTATGTCATTTTTCGCGCCAACTTACAAAATCGATTCACCTTGGATATTTTAGATATTTTTACGTTTAAACCAATTGGCGCACTGTGGGACTTATAGTACATTGTAGTACAGTCTTTGAGGATAAAAACAGTGCCTGTTTGAAGAAATTTTAGGTGAATGGTCCTCGCACAATTTTTAAAAGTAAATGTTTTAGTTTCCCATTTTCCTCACTTTTTGCTAAAATAGATGGCTTTTGTTTTGATTGTTTTAAAATACTCTACCTAGTGGTTAAACATTAATAGGTTTCCTAACTATGTAGCTTTGTAATCGAGTACCATTATAATGCTGGCCAAAATCTAGAAGAAAACTCTGAAAAACAAATTATGAAATTTTTTGATCATGAAAATGTTGATTTTCTGCCAAGTGGGCAAAAGAATGACTGAAGGCTTTACAAAATTGCAAAAATAATGCTTAATATTGATTGGCACACCGCAAGGTGTATCTACGCTTGAAGTTTATGTATTACACTTCAAAGTTAATATGGTTTGGGAAAATTTTAGGTGCATGGTCCTCGCAGAATTTAGTCATTTTCATCGGCTTTTCTTTTCGAGTTTTATTGCATTTAATTAAGGTGGCTCTATGATGTTTTGCAAGCTGTAAGGAAATATGTGCTGAAAATGCAGTATTCTTCATGATTATAAATCACTATGGATATCAAAACTTTTCTAAAGTGTATTTTAGCATTTAGGGGCTGTTTACATGAGCCTGGCTAGCCACTTGTAGCCGGGCTGGCCCGGTTAACTGAGGCGCCCGGCTTATTACAAATTCTTTAACAAAACAATTTTAGTTTATATGTCTAGCCCGCCTAGCCGAGATCTCACTCGAGTCAAACGGGGTGCCTGGCTAACCGGGCTGAAATTTTCCCATGTAAAGTCACCAGCCCGGGTAGCCAGGCTAGCGAAAAAACTTCTGTACAAGCTACAATATCGATTTGAATTAGTATTTTTTGGACAAATAGTTATTTCTTAAGTTGTTCTTAACATGCATTTGGCTTGTGTGACAAATTTCCCCCTGCCATATTTGGCTTGATAAAGTTTCAGCCCTGTTGATTGGGCTAGCCAGGCTCACGTAAACAGCCCCTTAATGGATTTGTACACTATATGTCACATGTGGTTGCTATGGTAATGTGAATTCATTTGCTAATTATTTTCTAACAAGATGATATTTTGTATTTTTTTCTCCCTGCTTTTGCTAACATTAGAGCACTTTTCATTAGCCCTTAGTGTTCCTAGCACATACATCAGTCCTTGTCGTAAGCAGACAAATAATTTTCCTAAAAATTGTCCCTTTTTTATCAATTTCTTCAGGATCATTGCAATGGTAACATAATTAACCCATTAAGCTGCAGAGCTAGCATTATGTGGAACTAGCAAAACCAGTAAGTGGGATGAATTTCTTTTGTTTATATGTCAGAAAGTTTCATATAGGAAAGCTGTCACCTCTCTTGTCTTAGATCAAAATTACCTTTGCTTACCTCGGGATGAAGTAAAAATAGTTTTTTTTCTGAGAATAGGCCCTTCCAAGGTTAAGGATGCCATCTTGAATATATTGTTTTCACCATTGTGTTTGTACCACCTCCCCTATAGGGAATTCCATTGTGTTTGCACCCCTTGTACTATTGTTTCATTATGGCATTGTCAACCTTGGAAGGGTCTATTGCTTTCAGTTATGAAGGCTTAACACCATATACTGAGTTGATTTGATTTGATTAACCCTTTAAGTGGCAATGCACCCCCCATTGTGCCTTACTTTAGTATTTTACTCTGTCTAATGCCAGATGATTTTACTCAGCATCAGGTTTGAGCCATTCAAATAGTGATAGTACTTAAAAAAGGCCTGTGCTATACATAGTGATATCTCTCTTATCAGGCAAACCCAGCTTTTGCAGGAAAATCTCCCATGTTTGAACCTCTTTCAAAATACTGCTCTTATTAATTTCATTGGAAAAAAACATAGGTGGGTGGGCATGGGCAGGAACCAATTAGATCATGTATACACATTGTAATAAATTTTCAAAAAATATCAGATTTTCTAAGAAGATCTTTTCTTGCAGGCTATTAAGAAAACATGAAACGAAACAAGATGAAATGAATATTTATTAAATTACAGATTGTGATACAAATTTATCTATTGTGTGGATATTACAAAAAGTTTATAGGATGTACAAAATACTCTGCAATGTACCAACATTTGTCATCATAATCATATCTTCAAGGTTGTAAAAGTAATATCGCAGAGATCTGTAAAAAATATACTTTCATTGTTAACTTAGAGGGAAAGAAGTATTCTTTTGTGTAGCAGTGGGATGGATTTACTTGGGGGTATTGGGGGAGGCGGTTCTTTGTTAAATAAAGTATTGGGTCTTTATGACTTTATAGACAACTTTGATTTCCAAAAATTGACATGCCTGTCTGGGGTCCATAGTGATGATGCATCCTACCTCAGTTGTTGGTCAGGCCCTAACCTGCCATCAGGCCTATAAATAAATAAATAGGCCTGAAACAAACCTAAACAAAAGTACATGCCTTACAACCGTATTTCAGTTGTAAATCTGGTTGGTCTACGAGACAAAAGATTTTTCAATCTGTCATTTGATTGGTTGGTGTTAATTAGATTATACTGTTCTTGTTGATATATTTTATAGTGATCACAACTATAATCAGATTGTTGTTGTCATTGTGCGAAATTTTAATTTCTCCTGTGACATTTTGATTGGATGCTAAATATAAA